CATCGCCACATCAATGTCCGTTATCAGGTTTCATCTAATAGTTCACGAACTGTTCGTTGACATATTGCAAGAGTTTGTCAACACATTCTTCTCTACGTATTCATACAAGATCTCATTTTAATTTGCCAACCGCTGTTAGGTCTAGCAATATTGGTTCATAAAATGGCATTTGCGACAACGTGGAAATCCCTGTAGAATTTTGATCATTGTTGGCTGTACTGACTGCTCTCCGTATAAGAGTAGTATTGCGCTACATAATAAGCGCGTTAGAAATAGAGTTGAATTTAATGTTTACGTTGGTAACAAATGGGAAATGGCACGCAAACAATTCTCTTAACCAAAGCAGCCTGTCTTACGGGAGAGGTGGCACTAGGGGTTTTATGGGTTTGGCCTTCGATTGCGTGGATAAATGTAAATAAAAGAAAGATTTGTTTGTGAAATTGCTTTTTTGAATGATAAAGATTTACCTCATAACTATATGGCAACAAAAATGGGCGCGCTAAATGAAACGTAAACAAATACCGGTTCTGCAGTTATAAACCATTTCAAGCAACCAGCGAAGCAACTGAGCACCAGTGTTCAGACGCCCAAGGCACCCTCGGCGAATGGTAAAGTGGTATACATGGTGTGTTGGTTGCAAAACGTGATAGTTAGTGAACGTGTGTGCCATGGCATCGAACGCTATGCTGCCTAATACCTGTGAAGCACTTAGCGAGAGAGGGAAAATACCACAGTGAAAGAATAATTAAATAAAAGGCTAATGCCAATATATTTTGGATAAGTGCCGAACTGTTGAATAGTATCTTCTTAATTTAATGCACACTCAGTTTGTGTCCACTTAGTATGTGTGCTTCACTTGGACTATCATACTCTCCAACAGTTGAGATGCGAACGCTGAGGGCCGAGCCACGGTTGGTCTGCCTTGAGCAAGGCTTACACGGCTGGCGAGGGACAGCAGTAGTTTGGTTGCGGCTAAATCTAACCTTGCATGCCTTAGGAGAGTTGAGAAACCATCGCCGTAGACCGACAATTGGTTTGCCATCCTTTACATATGCTTCCGTAGGTCAGGATTGACGACATTAGTCGGTTTGAGGCTTATTCTGCGACAGCATAGTTTAGGACAGTTGGGATGGATCGCTTTAGACCTATCCTATGCTTACCAACCTTGCGAGACGATGGCTGTGGACCGACCATTTGGCTTATCGATAGTGACCATAACTTCCTTAGGTCAAGAACGACCGCAGTTGTAGGTATGCGGGTCATTCTAT